AGGGAGGGGACCGGGCTTGGCGCCAGCCCCGGATCTAACACTTATCAGGCCGTGTTGACTCTGTGGTTGTTATCGCTGCCTGAGGACTTACTTCACACCCGAGCAGCTCAGAATAGAACCGCCTGAGGGCATTGTGCCAAGGGGAGAAGAGGGTGCGGGCCTGCCAGCCCCCAGCCAGGGTGAAACCAGGGGCGAGCCATGGGCGCAGGCCGAGCAGGCCCAGGCCAGAGCCCAGCCACTTAGGTTTCGTTTCCTCCTTCCTCTTGTGCCGCCAGCGATGGGGGAGAGGCGACTCAAATTCTTCCACCAGCCACTCCTGACCCAATGTCATCTCGCCACACCCGCTGCTGCCCAAATGAACCCTGCTCCCGGCCTTCTTTCCTCCCTGCCTCCTCCCCCAAAGTCCCCTCCAGACCCCCACACACATACATCCTGATCTCCCCTCCTGTCTGAGGGTCACAGATGACAGATCAGAAGTTAGAGCCAGAGCGGAGGAGGCCCATGTTTTATTCAGCCATGTACAAGTTCCCACTCCGACTTGGGGGCTTTCGGGGCCAGTCCTGGAGCCACTGCCCCAGGCACGTTCCCCACGGCTGAGATGGGTTAGGGACGCGCAGGAGGCTGCGAGCAGCCCACCGGAACTCCCAGCTCACCAGTCCAGAAAAGGGGGAGGGGGGCACTGGTGGTGAAGACAGAGGCCACTGGCCGGCTGCTCAGCAGGCAACGTGCCCCTACAAGTTGGCAGAAGTGGCTGCTGGGTTCGTGTAGGAGAGGCTGCTGCCACCATTGCCTGCAGAAACCTAGGTGAGGGGGGAAGGGGTCCAGGCTGACGGGCAGAAGCTTCCCTGGGAGAAGCCGCCACCCCAGGGCCCCTGGATGGCACCCAGGCTGGGGTAGTGGTCTGGGAGCCTGACTAGCTCTCGAAGGGTTAATTTGGAGAGAGCACCTGCCAGGCACCACCAGCAGCCAGGTGACTGTAAACAGGGCCTTTCCTCCTCCCTCTGCTCCCCTGCACTCCCTCCCCTCGGTTCTAACCAGCCCCCTCGCGGTCCCCTCCTGCCCGTCTCCCTCCATTCTCCGCTCTTCCAGCCCACGAAGGCGTGTGTGCTCATCTGTGTGAAACTGGGAGAAGGAAGTCCCAGGAGTGGGGAAATGGGGTCAAGGAAAGAAAAGTCCCCTCCCCCACCCGGAGTTCCAGCCCCAGGTGACCAAGTAATTATTTACTAGTCCTGCAGAGAAGGCCAGGGGAGGGAAGGAGGAGGAGGGTCCTTGCTTCCCTGAGACTCCCAAGAACCCCACCCAGGCTCACCTGGCTTGGTGAGACTTCAGCCTTGGAATCGGAGACCCGCCCCCAACATTCCTGAACCTACCCTCCATTCTTAGGAGAAGAGAGGGGGACAGACACTCACTCCTTGTGAGTCCTGTGTGAAGGGTGCCCACCCATTTCACCTCTGGGCATCCCAGTCCGGCTGACCAGCGAATGCTCTCCTGGTAGTGGGGACACTCCCTCATGAGGTCCCCTTTCTTCCATGGTCTCCCCAGGCCTTTCCCCTAGAACTCTCCTGACCGCCACCCACCTCCTTGCCCGGCCCTCCACTGCTTGCTTCATGTCACCCCTCACCTTTTCTAAGTTCTTTGGATTTTGCAAGTACCCCTGCAGGCCCCCTTCCCAGCCAAAGCCTCTTCTCCCTCCACCGTGGGGCCCATCCTCACCTCCTCGTAAGGGCTACGTTTGGCACCAGGGGGCACATAGCGCCCGTGGGTGTGGTAGGTGGGGTACTCGCTCATAGGATGGTAGGTATCTCGGGTTGGGAAGAGGTCCAGCTGCCCACAGCTCTTCCGGCGGCACTGACACACAGCCTGGGGGAGACAGGAGGTTAGGGGGAGCCACGGAGTTCCTTCTAGCAGGGGGACCCTGGGCAGAGCTGAAGACTGAGCACTTACCAGGGCAATGAGATAGATGATGGCCAGCGCGACCAGAACACAGACCAGCACCAGCAGGGCAATGCCCCAGCCAGGTACCCCGGACCCAGGCCGGGAAGAGGAAGGAAATGACACATCATCCACTGAAAGGAAAAGCAGTCAGTCATCAGGGTAGTTTCCCAAAGGAGGGGACCCTCCCCCACCACCCCCGGGGAGAAGCAGGAATCCAGCAGGAATCCGGATGCTGGAGAGTGAGTGGCCCTAGAAGCTTCGTGCTGGCCTGAGGCAAGGAAAGTGGCCTCACCACTAAGTCTTGAGATGACCCAGTTGTATCTCTTTTCATGTATTTCATCTTGAAGAAACTGTGCCGCTACCTTGTTGGCATTGGTGGTGCCCCCTCGGAAGGCCAGAGTTGATTCCACCACCACAGATCCTGGCCTGCTCACAGGGAAATGAGCAATTCAGGTGCAGGTCCCAGCTTCTGGCCACCTCCCCCAACCACCAGTGTACCAGTCCTTCCCCACAATCACAACATTTACCCACCCAGACGGAGTCCGCACCCAGACTGTACCTGAACTTTACGTTAGAGGAGCCCAGAAAATTCTCCTGCTTATAAATCTGCAAAATCTGGGGGGAGAGGGTAAGTACTAAGTGTGGTGCACGGGTTCGAGCAGTTCTGAAGCTGCTGCGGAGCACATGGAGGAAGGCAGTTACTCACCCATTCAGTAACGTTTCTCTGCAGCACCTGGTAATAGTTAGTGCTGGGATCTTCCAGGGAAGCGTTAAACGGGAGGTTCGAAATACGAAAGGACAGGAAGAAGAAGGACAAGCTATGATTGGAAGAGGTGAGGGGCACTATGCTACCGCTAGTGCTACTGGCTGTAGTCCTGGTTCTGTGGCTGGCAGGGGTGGTGGGAGTATCAGAGTGGCTGGGAACTGAGGATGGAGTGCCCTTGCCAACTGGGGTGGTGGTAGCCTTGGCAGAAGTGCCCTTGTGCGCTGGAGTGGCAACTGAGCTTGAGGCAGAGCTGGTGGCCGGGGAAGAGGTGGCACCGTGGACTGGAGTGGTGGCTGAGCTTGAGGCAGAGCTGGTGGCCAGGGAAGAGACGGCACCAGGGGATGGAGTGGCGGCCACACTTGAGGCAGAGCTGGTAGCTGGGGAAGAGGTGGCACCGGGGACTGAACCTGTGGCCGAGCTTGAGGCAGAGCTGGTGGCTGGGGAAGAGACGGCACCGGGGACAGGAGTAGTGACCACACTTGAGGCAGAGCTGGTGGCGGGGGGAGAGGTGGCACCGGGAGCTGGAGTGGCGCCCCCACTTGAGGCAGGGCTGGTGGCTGGGGAAGAGACGGCACCGGGGACAGGAGTAGTGACCACACTTGAGGCAGAGCTGGTGGCCGGGGAAGAGGCGGCACCGGGGACAGGAGTAGTGACCACACTTGAGGCAGAGCTGGTGGCTGGGGGAGAGGTGGCACCGGGGCCTGGAGTGGCGGCCACACTTGAGGCAGGGCTGGTGGCTGGGGAAGAGACGGCACCGGGGACAGGAGTAGTGACCACACTTGAGGCAGAGCTGGTGGCTGGGGGAGAGGTGGCACCGGGGCCTGGAGTGGCGGCCACACTTGAGGCAGGGCTGGTGGCTGGGGAAGAGACGGCACCGGGGACAGGAGTAGTGACCACACTTGAGGCAGAGCTGGTGGCTGGGGGAGAGGTGGCACCGGGGCCTGGAGTGGCGGCCACACTTGAGGCAGGGCTGGTGGCTGGGGAAGAGACGGCACCGGGGACAGGAGTAGTGACCACACTTGAGGCAGAGCTGGTGGCTGGGGGAGAGGTGGCACCGGGGCCTGGAGTGGCGGCCACACTTGAGGCAGGGCTGGTGGCTGGGGAAGAGACGGCACCGGGGACAGGAGTAGTGACCACACTTGAGGCAGAGCTGGTGGCTGGGGGAGAGGTGGCACCGGGAGCTGGAGTGGCGGCCACACTTGAGGCAGAGCTGGTGGCCGGGGGAGAGGTGGCACCGGGGGCTGCAGTGGTGGCTGAGCTTGAGGCAGGGCTGTGAGTGGGGAGTGAGCTGCTGGTTGTGCTCACAGAACTTCTGTCAGCGAACCTGGACATTGGGCTGCTTCGGACAGTCACAGTCTGTGTATTTCCCATGTGGCTTGTGTGGCCAGAGGTTGTAGGAACCATTGGTGTGGGAGTGGGAGAAGCTGTAAGAAATTGAGAATGAGGTTCAGGGGTAAATCAGAACCAGGAGGAAATACTTCCTCTAGCATTTGGAGAAGTCATGCTAGGAGGATCTGGGGAGTAGGCCCTTGAGTCAGCCCTCCTCCTCCCTCCCAGCTGCAGCCTCCCTCTCTTCCCACACCCTCCGCTCCCGGTTTAGCCATTCTCCACTCCTAAGATTTACCTCCCCTGCCGCTCCCACTCCCACCCCCACCCTGCACTTCCCTTCAGGAAAGTCACCTGCCCCTGGCACCCATTCTCCTGGGGGGTCGTCTCTGAGCCTGTCTCCTTTATTCTGGCACAGACAGGCTACCTGTCTGCCATTTCTGCCTTGTGGGGTACCATCTGCCAGGAAACAAAATCCACAGAAAGGCTGTGCAGGGCAGCCCCTTCCCCACCTTGTGCCCCTCACCTGTAAGCACTAGGACTAGCAGCAGCAGGAAGAAGCGAGGGGCCTGGATGCCTGGTGTCATGGTGGTGGTGAACCGGGTGGGGAGGGGGCAGACCAGATTGAGGCCGGCACTGGGCACTGCGTGTGAGGTGGAGCAACACAGGTGCCGGCGGTTTTATACT